GGATGGATGGATGGATGGATGGATGGATGGATGGATGGATGGATGGAAAATAAACAAAACAAATTTATCAAAAAGAAAAAAATATTGAATGAAAAGAGTGCAGAAAACGAAAATAATTCTTATATCTCCCCCTCAATTCCTACATGTGTCCAGTTTACCACTTTTTTGTCTGTCCAAACAGGTCTTTCTTGTAAATGAGTCTTTGAGGCTCTATGTGATTTATCTGTTTAAATAAAGGTTGAATGAATAAATGAATAATTAAAAAAAATATATAAAATAACTTTAAACAATCACTTAAATTAATCACTTTAATATCCACTTTAAAGCTAGGAATAAAAAAACATGTTTTGTGTTAGCAGAATTTAATTCTAACTTTGAAACTTATCCAACATTAATAAAACTTACCTCAAGTTGCCTTTTTGGACATGCATGCATATATTTGTACAAATTGTACTTGCCTATAGAGAGGAGATTATTACAGCCTCATAAAAAAAATCAATAATGATGATGATATCAGAACTGTATCGATATCAACCAATACCCAGTTTAGGTATCAGGATCGGATCGGAAGTAAAAAAAAAAAAAAGGTGGATCGTGCATCCCTACTTTTTAATAACTTAATAAGTAAATGAACAAGTAAAGGTTTAACTACAGCAGTCTTAAAACGCTGTGGTACGTAACCATTCATTTGAGACAAATTAAGCTGATCCAAGACGTGGTTATTAGTTAAGAGGAATACCTCTTTAATTAGTGGTTGGGATGGGATCTAGCAGACATGTGGATGGTTTGGATGAAGCTATTATTTTTGACAATTCATAGAGCTCAACAGGACAAAAATAGTCCAAACATAAATCAGGTTCTGATGCATGCTCAATAATCCAGGTAGAAAAATCTAAAAAAGTTAAATCTGGTCCTCTGGCCATTCAAAAAGGCCTACGTGTTCAATTGTCCCCCTCTTACAATGCTGTGATTGCTAGTATCACTCAGCCCTCTGTGAATAGTAAACAGCCATCAGTGTGCTAATGACCCATTGTTAGGCTGATGGTCCTTCTTGAGCATGTGATCAGCTGGTTTTGGTTGTCAGCAGCAAAACTGGTTGATCCATTCTGAGAAGGTGCTATTTAAGAGACTGAGCTGAATACAGCACCTCCGACTGAGGAAGTCTCTCAGATGAGAGACGAAACGTTTCTACATTTTTTTGTTGTTTTGCTTTGTTTTGGGTTTTTTTGAATGTCCAGAGAACCAGATTTAACTTTTTTAGATAAATCAGGTTCCAGTGACATTTTAAAGTTGTCTCATCTGACAGGGAGCCAGAGGTGATAGTAGGAAGGTTGGTTTGAATTTTTTTTTCCCTAATTGAAATCATTGTATTTATAAAGAATCTCATGAACTCATCACTGCTTATAGATGAAGGGATACATGGTTCAACTGATTTTTCATTAGACTAGCTATGGTACTGAAAAGGAACCTGGGGTTATTACTCTCATCTATTAAAGATGAAAAATATGACGTTCTAGCTTTATGGACAAACTGTCCAGATGACCTAACTGAAAAATGTTGGATTGTATACCTGGATTATTGAGCATGTACTTTGTTGTTTTCAACCAGTTTGACATGACTGTCAACAAGGAAGAAGGCTGGCAATGGAGGAGGGGGCGTACCAAACAGACCATCTAGCACTAACCAAACTGGTTACTTCCACTTTAGAGTAAGCTGTTGGGGGAAGAATCATTTTTGTGTTGTGTTTCCTTGACTGATGAAGCCTTCTGGATCGAAGGCAAAACCTTTTAGCACAAAAAAAGGAAACCGTCCAGATGACCTGACTGAAAAATGTTGGATCTCTTATAAAGGTCCATCCCACAGTGGATCCTAAGAAACTGGCTGCAGCTACCGTCCAGTCATTCCACCCAGACTCGGCTGGTCTCTCAGTTCCCCCAGGCTGTAGGACTGCGCGAATGTCGGGCAGAACTCCTCCCAGAGCGATGTCCACTCCTCCCAGCAGTCTGCCGAGCTCCTCGTTGCAGCGGACAGCCAACTGTAGGTGCAGAGGGACGATCCTGTCCTTCCACTGTCACGAGCTGTGCCTCTTGCTAGTTCCAGGATCTTAGGGTGCATTCACACCAGCCCTGTTTAGTCCGCTTTAATCGAACTCTAGCCCATTTTCCTAGGAAGTTCGGTTCGTTTGGGGAGGTGTGAATGCGCCATCGAACTCTGTCACGGAACAAAAAGGCGAACTCTGGCCCAGGCTAAAACCTAGGTCTCGGTCCGGTAGAAAAAAACTCCATTGCGGTTCGAGTACAGTGTGAATGCAATCAGACTGGGCCCCGCTCCTCAAGCAAGAAGTGGAGTACAGCGCAGAGCAAACAAACACACATTTCTTTTACCTCATATGGAGCCGCCAGCTGCCTTGTGTGAAAAACAACATTCTCCGTGGTCTTCTGCCTCATCTTCCGCTCATGCTGAGTCCATTTTTGAAAAATGACAAAATATAACGCCTAAAACTGCTAAAACTTGATGCCACACCATTTTTGTTTTTATTTCCAGAAGAAGAAGAAGAAGAAGTGTCTTCTTCAGAGGTTTTTGTGTCGTTTCTTTCAGTAGTTCTTGGTGCAGCACCACGACAGGCGAGTGGGGGAACAGGTTGGTTCAACAGGTTGGCTCGACTTTACGGTGCAGTGTGAATGCAAACGTACCAGCTCAAATGTAAACAAAATGTTATGAATATTGGTCCCCAACCGAACCGAGTCTACCTGACTATCAGGTGTGAAAATGACCTTAGTCGTCAGGCACTCGAGCACAGCTGGCAGGTAGATGAGAATGCGTCCACAGAACATCCTTTTCAACTCAGTTGAGATTTGGGGCTGTAGTCGAGATATTATTTGAGCTTTTGAGATGTTAATCAGCTGCTGTTGGTTGTAGAAAACTGCGTTGTTGCCATGGTTACGCACCATAACAAATGTCCAAAACCAAAAAAGTTTCAGTAAAAATCCTTCCAGCTGCACAGCATCCGATACCAGAGGAAACAATCGTCCAAAAACATGTGCTTTACATCCAGAAAAAGAGGAATTAAAGTTTCCAAAAGCAAAATCTCAGAATGAAAGTAACAGAGCTGCTCCAACATGCAGTCACCTTGAGCGGCGCAATTCTAGAACCAATTGATCAACTGCTTGTCTCCTTTGCTAAGACACATTGAGAAGCTGGTGTCAAAACAGCGGGTTTTCCACTGGATTGCAGCTGTAATTGTCTTAGCCTATAGCTCTAAAGGGCTACAACTTCCAGAGGATCTCTGTGATCATTTCACAAGCTCTCATGGGGCCTGCTCAAGTACTGCAGCAAGCTGTCTCTCCTCACACATTTGCTCTGTTTTACAAGCTTGACATCATAGCATCATCCTAGGCTCAATCAATACTTGGTGTTGCACCAAGAAACACACAGAAGGACTGAAAATAAATGCTGGCACATAACATGAGATCTGATGAGCAACATAAGAGTCAGTATATTTTTCATTACCAAAGTGAGACGCAAAATGAATGCTATGAAAGAGAACTTTAGATTACTTCCTTGTTCTCTGAGCAGCATGAGTTAGTCTCTCACAAAGTTTTTGAACTCTCTAAGTCACTGTTCTTGGTTTGACATTGAACGTTTTGAATAAAATATCAATCCAGTGACAGCCCTAGAAAATTGGGGGAGGGATCCTGATCTCCCTGACACTGACAGTCTTATAGCTTATTTCCAGCCAGTCTTGTCTGGTGTTGGGTAATTGAAGCTTCAGATGATGCCGCGCAGATTTCTCAAAACGAATGCTGCTCAAGAGAACCAGTTTCAAAAAAGTAGCCTAAAGTTACTTGCAGTCAAAAGCCTTGTCATTTAAAGGATGAAAATAGACAAAAATTCTACAATAAATTTGGAAATTGGTCTATAAAGTATGTAATTTTTAACAGAAAAATGTAGGAACCCTAAGCTGATTGTTTACAATTTGTATGTCGTTAGTTCCCACAGGAACTCCAGACATTTTTCCAGATTTTCAGCATTCACCAATGACAGACTCCGGTCTCAGCTGCAGCTCCACATCTTCCAGTTTAAGTTTTGGGGCAAGGGGTAGTACTATGTCTCACCTCTCCCCCACACTACTCACTGAGACAGACGTTACAGCTGAACATGACGAGAAGGCCAAAATTCTCATTGAGTTTATTACATCAAGGTGAGGAGACCCTGTTTTGTTTAAATTATATATTTCTCAGCAAATGTTGCATCTTGTTCCTTTTTTTGTCAGTTGTTGCTCCTACTAACCTTCTATGTTGTATATTTTGGTATAATTTTAAATGAAGTAGTTATAAATAAAAACATTGTTTTACTCATTGTGTGCAATGATTTTGCTTTCATGCTTCCAGCAGTGTGTAAAAGGACAGGGTATTTTTTTTAACTTTGCATGGGTTTGATTTGGTTGATTTGGTTGGATATCATGGTGTTCCTTTTTTTTTCTAGGTATGATATAATGAAATATATGTAGTCCGTTTAGTTCTAACATCACACGCTCCCTGATTTGTGTTTACTCCTTCCTGCCTTGCAGAAAGCGAGGTCCACTCTGGAATCATGAAGACGTGTCGCCCAAGAACCCCAACATCAAGAGCGCTGATCAACTAAGTGTTTTTATCAGACATGTCGTGACCATCTTTAAACAGTCCCAGACAGGTCCACTATGCACTCAATTTCTGCTTTGGTTACTGGTACATTTTTGACTGAATTGATTAGGTAGAGCTATGTTTGTGTTCATTTCTTCAGGTTTGCAACTGGACTCTATGCTGAGTGAAGTGGCTCTGAGGACAGCTCTGTCTTGCTCTTCTCGCCACTATGCTGGTCGCTCATTCCAGATTTTCAGGGCACTTAAACAACCTCTCACTTTGGCCACACTGTCAGACATTCTGTCTCGGCTGGTTGAGACTGTAGGAGACCCAGGAGAGGAAGCTCAGGTCAGGAGATTCTGGAGCAAACCATCACTCCTTTGTTTTGAAAAAGAAAGCTTATTCTTTAAATATCAGATACTTTAACTTGGGGTGTGTAATTATGTTTTGTTTTCTCCTTAGGGTTTTGTCATTGAGCTACTTCTGACATTAGAATCCTGCATTGACACTTTAGCGGACAGTATCAAAAACTATGACCTTCTTTCTGCTTTAGCACAGTAAGTCCTCTCATTAGTAGTTTAGTGTTGCTGTTTGACTCTTATATGTATGTGTATATATATATATATATATATATATATATATATATATATATATATATATATATA